CATATCAGCATAATAAATGCATAGGACTGTATTTAAGTAGAAGCATTAACGAAAAATACCTGATAAAATAAACACAACACGTGGGGTCGTATAACTTTCGAAAGTGTAAACTTGTGTTATAAATTGATCGGTGCAATACGTTTGATTGGAAATTGATTTGATGGCATTGAAGAGCAGCTGTATGTAATGTCAGCGATGGTCGATGATCGCAACATATTGCTTTTATGGTAACGATATGTGTTGGTGTTTATATTTTATGTTAGATCGTTTTGTACGTTTCCCGAGGGCACGTTTTGATATTTGAGATCAATAACCTAGTCGTCTACGAACTTGTATCGTTTCATGTCTGATGAACACCAACAGCGTCAATCGTCAAGGTCGGTGGTGGGCATTTAAATTGAACATGACGTAAAAACAATGTATGGCAGTGGATTCGATTGGCAAACAAACAACTGCTAACAATATTACTGCCAAGGAACTTTGACGACAATCGATGTGGGTGAGAAGTTAAAAAAAGTTTTTTCGAACCCACAAAATCAATAACAGCGAACGTAAATTTTAACAATTTCGTGCCCGGGGTCCTCGGATACGATGTTTTTATTTTTTTTACTGTTTTCTTTCACACTATCGCAGTTGTTCGCACACAAATACGTGCAAATACACGCAAACACGTGAGCATGACATGAAATCCCGACCGCGTTTGCTGTATTGTTCGATTGATAATAACACTTAGGTACTAATTAAATACCAATAAGTGTAATAATAATAATAATAATAATAATACTACACGTGCCGATGGAACGTGTATTGTTTTTCCGGGAATTACACATGTTTCGACTAAATGCCATAAATATATTGTACAACATTGTGTGTATCACCTTTCCCCCAGCCACCCAATATTTCTGCTCTCGTTATTATTATTATTATTATTTTTTTTTTTTATATTCCCGTTCAAAGGCAATCTGCACAAGTGGAGTGGGACAGCGCGGGGACACGCGTATAATAATTAATTAAAACGCAGCAGAGGCGACTACACAACGCACGGCACGACCTTTTTGTGTGCTATAATAATACGACTGGAAATATTACACACCGTCGCCTATAGTATTATAATTGTTAACATTATTATTAATATTATCATTACTATTATTATTATTATTATTATTATTATTATTATTATTACTGTAGTTGTTGTTATCATTAGTATTATTATTACAGCAGACGTTTGTGTTTTTTAACTCGGATTTCGCAGCATCGTTAGTAACGAAATGGATTAATCCGTTAGTTGTTTATAGCACAGGTACCCCATATACACAATGTGCAGTGTTCTAGACACGTATTATTATGTATATATTACGATATTTCATTAGTTTAACATACGTCCTATATAATATATATATATATTATGATAAATGGTAACCACTTAATGGTAATTATATGATTTATTCTACCGTTATTTAAATGCAAATATATAATATAAAAAAATTACTCATAATATAGTACGTAGGTTTACAATAAACTGTGGTACGAAAAACGGCACACGATAGTTCGTTAAATATCACACGAATAACATAATGGTATAGAAAATAAATCAGGTTATTATTTATTCATAATTGTGGGGAGGGGGGATTTTATATTATTTTATATTTTGTGTAAATTATGATTATTATAAATGAACTAACGTTATTATTAATTTATTATTATTTCCTAATCACAGAAAATACATCAATAAGCCTTAATCGTTGATACACAACTAGCAGGTTATGTTCAACAGATAATATTTAAAAACCAAAAAGGTATTTTTTAATGTTAAGTTAGATTTTTCTAGTATTTATTCTTTATATACTTATCTATTTAATATTTCTTATTTATTTTATTAACAATACAATATTTTTTTAATAACTATTCTCAAAAATAAAATAACATTAAGATGATTGTTAACTGGTTTTCAATATTATCGAATAAATGTAATAATAATTTACAAGCTATACGTTCATAACTTTAAACGTATATACAGTTATTGGGTTATTTTGTACTTTTGAAGATCCTAAATCCACAACCAGTTATATAGTCATTTCGTGAATAATTAATATTTACATTTTTGAATTCATCTTCTAAATAAATGTTTGAATTTGTATATATTAGACGTAAAATTTGAATTAAATCAATCTTGATTAAATATTAATATGTGTGAGGAATAGGTATTAATTTAGCTCACTATTAAGTAATTTCGTAATAATAATATTACGTAATCAACACGTATATCAAACTTATTAGCAACATAAAACGAATAAACAATGATCTGGGGGTATATTTTATTATTATATTGACCTGACCCATTTCAAAAATAATAATTATAGTTAATATTGTCAAGACCAGAAAATTATACGCATGAAAAAGTACTAAAAGAAAACTTTGGTGTAGTGTTGCCTTCGATCGTTGAAGGGTATAACGGATACCTCGGAGGCTCCGCATCTTAATCAACATTTTAAAAATTTGCTTAATTATTCATTACTCTATCAAAAAATATATTCATTCAGACAGTCAGAAATGGTTTGATAAAAATATGAAGTACCTTAAATATCTAATTCAGTGTTAAAATCCAAATTACATATCACTTGATGTGTACTTAATTGGACCTACAAAAGCTATCCTGATCGAATAGATCCTAAGTGAGTAGGCATTAAAAAAGAGATAACATCTAAAAATAACTAAATACTTTGGGTTAATTTTGTAAGATTCAATTTTAAATTTCACAGAATGAAATGATTTGTATTAATTAATATTAATACAATTAATGTTCTCATTGGAATTCCAATAAAAATACTAACGGTAGTAGTCAGGTACCACAGTACATCAAGATTGGATAGTATGTTAGTATAGTTAGGTTACTATAACTTTGGAAAAGACGTTAAATAAAACAAAACCTAAAAATATTAAAAATATTTGAGTTTAAATGAATACCTACAATGGAGAAAAAATGAAAAACTGCCAGACATGTATACACAATTTCCGTTTATAAATGGGACGTTTTGAGGCATTTTACTGTCTAACAGTGCATATCACATAATACTAGTCCCAGACAGTGGTATAAAAAGTTTTATCATTATATATATATATATAAAAGATACATAAAAAAAACTTGACAATAATAATTCAACTGTAGATAACTGCATCATCAGTCACGTAGGCAGGTAATACACAATCATTTTCTACTTTTAATGAGTCATTTTATATTAAAAATTAAAATGTATAAGAAAACATTATTAACTTAGTTACTCCATTATACATTAATTTATATTGTAATTCATTGTAATATAAACAATAACTCTTCAGTCTTTAGTCATTGGAGAAATATTTTTTATCATTCAACATTAATTAAATTTTATCTGTAAATTCTGACCAATATTTTTCAAGCTCGTGGACATTTTGACGTTCAAAAACATTTTTTAAATATCTACTTCGTATTCACTTTTTTAACTTAATAATAATATCATGAAAAAAAAATATTCACGAAATTTAAAAATGTCAATTAATGAACCACGTAGTACTTATATAACAATATATTATTATACAAAACTAACTCAAAATCCACTTTGAATCATAATTCAATAACCGTGAAAAAAATGTTGATTAAAAAAATTTGTTTCGTGTTTAAATAAAAAAAGAAAGGAAAGTGCTAAAATGAATAGCCAATTTTTTATACAAACAAAAGTTATTAGATTTTCATTTATTTATAGATATAAAATAAAGTTTAAAATTGAATAAGTAACTTTAACTCATTTTTGTTTTTATTTTAGTATTCAGTTTAATTAAAAGTATACCTAATTAATACATTTGCAATATGTGCTTTTAGGTTTGGTAAAAATGTATTTTAATAAAAAATGCAGTATAAATTGTATGGAAGTACTAGTTTCCAGCGGTGTTTCTGTTGGCAGTAACATTTTTGTGTTTAGTGTCCCATACTTTTCAAATATTAAGGGAACATCAAATGAGTTTAAAAAAAAAATTGGAAATATATCGTAAATGAATCAAATGTAGTTCACAGTATAATATGTTCATTACAATTAGATAATAAAATAAAAACCATTTAATATGGATAGACACCTTGGCCACCATGCGTATACGTTCTCGTGAGCAATCGAATTATTTGCAATCTAAATTACAACTGCCGCAGCAGATGATAATAATAATATTTATTATACAGTTCGTGCAATTCCTTTTAAAAACATTTTCCACCATAATATCGATGCACAACAAAATGTCACGTTCGCGAGAGGCCTATTCGAATTTGAACTGCTGCAAGCTCTGTTTAAATACAATAATTAAACCCGAAACTTGCAACGTGAAACGTACGTACGATGGCGCTTTTAACTTAGACCCCGCCTACACCCTTCTCATTACTGAGCACCAGCAACCCAATGTTCTTGACACCCCTTGTCAGATTTCCGTTCAATAAGTTCTTCGAAAATTATAATAACACAGTCAATGGTAGTCAATGAAATATGATTGTATTTCTTTCCCACAATCTTGTAAGAGGATAGTGTCATCGCATGGGTTTCATAGCATCAGTTCATTATGCCAAGCAAAAAAACAAAATACGATATCAGTATTTATTTTTATAGGCAAATTTTAAACAATATAGATACCTACACAGTATTATTAAGTTTGATAATATTTTGAAACATGATTGTATCATTTTTTTTTTTAAACTATATCTAAGAATTTAGGAAGTTGTTTTTCGGGGTCAATAATATTGAACCCGGAGATTGTGAGTTTCGACATATTGTTTGTTTTTTTTATTTTCAACATCATTATTTACGCATTCATATACATTATACACATAATACATAGGTACATATATGATGTAATTTATATTAATACAAGAAATTATGCGCATTTTGTTCAAATCTTAAAATACATTCAATATGTGAATGTTTTGATACATAATACTATAATAGTATGTATTAAAGATGAACAATAACATCATGAAATCATACCTGTATAGTGGTACGCCAGAATCATCTTTGAACCAGAATACCATGTAAACTTTGTCTGCTGGATTTGGTGAGGACACGTCACAGGGAAATTTAACGGTTCTACCTTCCACAGCATCTACAGGAACGAGTGGCACAGTAACTGTAACATAAAATCAAAAAATAAACAATCAAAAAGCTTGACATTTTATTTTTAATTGGTATATTTTTTAATAAAAAAAAAAAGAACAGTACTCAGTTGGATACAGTATGATTTATATAGTACCTCACTAGTTTTTTATTGTGTAGTACTATAATAGTAGTATGATACGGTATAGTATAGAATAAGTTAATATTTATTTACTTATATTTAAAATGATAACAAGTGTTACAGCGACAGCAATAGTATTGCAATGAAAATTTTAAAATTTTTCCTGCACTGAAAACTTCTTTTGACATATTATTATTCAGATTCAAAATCGCCGTCCTTTTTTCACGCTTTGTTCGTAACAAAAGTTTCGTGGAGTTAAAAAAAAACATGTGCCCTTTAATGAGAATATCACATGAGGGACAGAAAACTTTTTTAATATTGTCATTTTGGACGTTGGAATAAACGTTTCGACAAGATACAAAGGAGGGGTGGTCATTAATAATTTGATATTGAAGAGTTTTCATTGTAAAAGGTCATCATTTTCTTTAGATAATAACTAATGTTATCGTCATTTAAATTAATCCAGTCAAATAAAAACACGGTATTCCAATTTTGTGACGACTAACATAATTCGACTGTGACAAATTTGATATGCAATTTTCCAAGGTTAGGTTAGTTAATAATTCTTTATACCTATAACGATTACGTTTCTATAATTCATCGAATATTCGGTTGTTAAGGTCAGTTATTTAATAGAATGTGTTGTTATGTATAAAAAAAAATTGTACCAACTCGTCATGAATTATAACGTCGAAGACTCTACTTACAATGGAAATGTCAAGACCTTATGTTATCTAATGTTATAAATCTGATAATTGGTTTTCCAATTTTAAACATATTATTCTGTTGTACAAGTTGATTAAACAATCACCAGCTTCAATTTATTTTCGGTATCATTTAATTTACATTGCGAACGCGTTTAACGCTACAGACGTTTACGCTTTTCATTAGTTTAAGTAAATTGATTATAACTTTTAAATGATTCACAGAATAAAAAAAAGAAAGAAACTACAATATACGTATATACGTGATGATGAAATTAAAACAATAGTATTAAAAACTTTAGCTACAGTAATGTAATTAAATTTTTAGAAGTTTATATCAAGATCACCTAGTCCATAGAAGTAATTTATTACACAACATACGAGTCAATTGAGTTTCAAAATAATTATGACCAATTTATTTGAGTACAGTTCACTAAATGTATGTGTAAAAAAGTTTTCGGACTTTGTATGCCACTTTCGAAATTATAAACATGAATTAATTTTCTTTCTTAAAAATATCGGACACAGTATACGATTAGTTAATGATAGCTATTATATGTAAAAATACCACCAAATAAATACATATACGGAACATAAATTTCACATTGTTATTGATAATATATAATTGCACGTTTAGTCATGTTTAGATAAATTCAACGCATTGATTGTAGGTTTTATTTTTAAAAGAAAAGTGTCTCGAGAGTTTCGTGTATATTACTTTTTCATAATTTAAGGAAATATTAATACATATTTAATCAAACAAACATTGTTGAAGCTCGAAATTTAAATAACTTTTTTTTCTATTGGCTTAATAAGTATTCTTTGTTGTCTGCTATTATAACCCTTGTGTTACCCTAACCTATAATTTGGGCCTTGATTACATTTTTTATCGTGTACATATATATATACATATTTTTATTCTGTTCTCGTTAGTGGAGTATCATTACAAAATCTCTTTGAAGCTAAAGTTTCGTGGAATCATAATTAGAGCACCAACTTTCAACAAAAATACGTGAAGAGTATTATACTGTCATTGGAGTGGGACTTTTTGGATATACCTCTAGACATTTTAGCTAATCATTTAGAAAAAAATGTTGATGATTAATTAAATAACTGCATAATATTATATAAGATTGCCATTTGTGTAAAATGTTTAGGTGGATTAATGCGTTGTAGTAGGTATGTCAAAATTACATTGAGTCAAGAAAAATAAGTAATGACAGCAATAATATTATTAAAATTTCAATTTTTCTTGTACCATAAAAAACTAGCCATACAATATTAATTAATTAGTTACCTATTGACAAATTCAACCATAATAATATTATTATATTCTTTATAACCTGACATAAAACTTTAATACATATTAATAATAATATAATGTTACCAAATTTTTGTTTTGACATGAAAACAAATATTGATCATGTGAATAATGATAATGTGTGATCATTCTGTTATGAATAGACTGTAAAAACTAATTCCAATATTAAAATTATTTTTGACAAAAGTTGTTCTTATTTTTAAATATTATTTTTTATGAAAATAGTGACATAAATAACAAAGAACATATTTAAAACTTTTTCAATTTCCCTGTTAAACTCTTCGAACATTTGGTTTATGCTTCAGAAACTGTCAATTTTGTATAGAAAACATCACACGGAAACAACTTGCCTTTGAGACTATTAAAATAGAGTTTTGATATTCTGCTTATTTCTATATATGCTTATATAATTTTTTTAGTATATCGTTGTATTGCTTGGAAACTAAATAATAAAAAATAAACTTAAGTACATAATTGTACAAAAAAAAAATAGTGAATCGTATTATTTTTAAAATTACCAATTAAGGATACAAATATTGTTTATAACACATAACTATTTACAGTGACGATAAATTATTTTTATATTTTTATTCATTGCATCTATTACAGTTATCTAATGTTATTTGAAATGCAATTAGATTACAATTAGAGAATAGTATATAAATATACAAAATATTACATACGATTTTAATACAGTATAAGTATATATTCGATTGTACATTAATAATTTTTGATAAATACATATTATATAATATAAAATATCTAGTGACAGAGGTTAGCCCGGGTTCAGTTCCTTGCAAATTATATAGTTAATATATAAACGTAAAATTTTATTTTGAGTATTTAATTCAAATTAGACATGCATTACATGGGATGGCATTCCTCAAAGTTTCTCAGCTGTAAGCTTTTAGATTACGGAGGTGGAAAATCACCCAGCATAATAGAAGTGAATCCACTTTGGTAAAAAACATACAATTTCTTGTTTTTTATATATAATTGAGCATTACTAATAAACGAGAATTATCTCAGAGTTGAGACCTTCACCAATGAATTCTTGCAAAAAAAAAAAAAAACTTGGTATGAAAATTCTGACGAAAACCTTGAAGCTACTACTAGTACAACTGGATGTCTTTTTCTAAATCCTATATGCTATTGTATCTATGGGAGAAAACGCACAACAAAAATAGTACATTATGTCAATATTTGGTTATAAATGCAGCATCTTCAAGAACAGCGACATCAAGCGGCTACTACGTCAAACGTATCGATAAAAGTAAAATAGGATAATGAAGATTATTATTCTAAATTATGAAACGTTTAAATAAAAATATAATTTCCCGATAACTAATAACTAATTAATACAAAATAAGGACCTCCATAAAGATGATAATGAATAAATAAGTTATCAGATAATTAAAAAAAATTGTTGGACGTTTAATATATTGGACCTTGTTGCATATTGTATATTTTAGTGTTAACAAATACATCTTATAATAGCTGTAGTCCAGATAAATATCATAATCTAGGTAGGTACATATCTACTTTTTTCAAAAAAAAAAAAGAATTTAAAAATCAAAGGTTTCAATTATAATATATTGTAATGTAAAAGTGGTCGAACAAAACGAAAACATAATGCTAAAAAGATAATATACTTTTAGCTCGAGCACAAATTAAATAATAATAATAAAAAAAATCATCATGGTAAAAATGTATAATATATAATGAACAGATATAGAACGAACAAAAATACCTTTTTTTTAACATTATATTACATTTTGCCTGTATAATAGAGAAATAATACCACCAAACTGGTGTTTTTCTGCTGACGAAAAAGTCGGAAAGAAATAACAATATTTTTTTTACTTCACATATTATACGTATACATTGACGTTGTCGTGGTGGTCTAAACGCGTAAATATTTACATACTCTACTCGTCGTTAAGGGACCTTTTTATGCGGGACTCTTGTTGTTTTCTATTTGCCGCCATGTCGCTATAATATTACACCGCCGATATTGCTGCATCAGGCGATTATTGTTGTTTTGCGAGACGGACAGTTTTTTAAAATAATGAAAACATCAAGCAACTGTGAATTAATACAATTATTAATGGTGGAAGGAAAATAACCATCGACGTGGCCGAAATGACTGCTGAGTTAATATTGTAGCGATGTAGCTACACGAGCACACTTTTTAGTAATAATTAATGTTGGGCCACTACGGGGCAAAAAATTGCATGTTTTTATTGTACTAGACTAATTTTATTGATTATTAGTTGTTTTTCCTTCATTTAGTTTGTCGGGTATTCAATGTTCTGACGAAGGAATATAATGATCGTCAAAATGTTAGTATTCTGACGGCAACGACCTTTTAAAAATCATGATCATAATGCACAACAATGCTACTAGGTGGTGCTTATGCGTATTGTTGAGTATTTATGTATACTTGTTTTGAAAATAGTGTATGATCAAACATCTATTTGTCGTTTTCCTGCCATGATATGTATAGTATATTTTAAATACTTAAAAATTCGTGTAACGCCTTTTCGAAACACATTTCAATAATATTTCATAACAAGTGTCCTTAGGCGCCTTTTAAACGCGAAACAAATTGCAACAACTCGACTGCAACTACCGCCGTGTACTATAAGCGCCCGCTTCGAATCACGCTACAATATTGTGCACGCCACATGCGGTTATAAGGGAAACGAGGACAAAAAGGCGTTTTACGCTCGCAAAAGCCATGAATAAAATTATTCGTGGACGACAGCACAGAAACACACACACATACACACGTCGAGTGAGAGAATAAGAGAGATAGGTAGAGAGAGTGCGTGGGGCGAGTTAAACGAAAACCACCAGACCGTCTA